GGCCACATGTAAGGGGTGATGTGCTCACAGAAGTTGTCTGACAGCCATGACTGGCTTTTTCCTACTTGCGTACCATGTTGCAGAGTCCTGTTGCCAGGCATATAGTTTCCAGCAGTTACTCTCATGTACCAGGGCAGCACTACCTTCTCGAGGCCCTTGATGTAGACCTCCGTGTTGAATCTGAGGCCCTCTTGGAAGATGAATGGAGGCGTAACGTCTCTATCATTAGTGATCACTCCAAAACACCTTCATAATCACCATTAGACTCATCCAACTCTTTCCGAATTCTCTGCACTGTTCTACGATCGACACCCAAACACTGTGATATGTTCGTATTGGAGCTTCCGGTGCCAAGCATGCCGTTTCCAAATTTTCTGCAGAGTCATTTGCAATATGGTGATCTTTATTTCTCACAGACGGTGTCCAACTGAGCCTACTGTGCTGAAATTAATACGCGAAATTAAAAAATATACAATGGCGACAACTTACTCATCTATGTATATACAAATATCGTTTACGCCAAAAGAAATTTTGGCTGTCTTTAAATTTAATGTAATGTATGGCTAATGTATTTAATGGGTGGAGCAAGAAGGTTTGAGAGTCATGGCGAAAAGAGAAAAGTTTTAAGTGCTAAAAAGACAGGAAATGGTGGAGAGCCATCGTCCTGAAAGAACATGACACGTAGAAGAAGATTTTACTGTAGATAAAATGTTAAGTATAAAAAAATATATACCAACAATATTTAATGGATAAATACAATTTGAAATGATTAAACTTCATTATAATTCATTTGTAACCTTTACCCTTGCGTCTAGGATGAAACAGTCTGCCGGCTCTGAGTGTTGACTTTAATGTTCACTTTCATATTTATATTCGCTCTATCCCTGATATCGAGCACTTTATCCTATAAATATAGCACATCTTAAAACTATATATATATATATATATATGGGAGACATGACATATGTGGTATCCGTCTGTCTTGCGAGATCATTGATATGCGTCCAAAGAATTATGTCTTTGCTGTTGATGGCAACACAGCATCTGTTATGTGTGTACAGAACTACACAGGAACGTCAGTCTTTACTGTAACAAAAACATGTGAAGATGCTTTTCCCCTGATGTCGCCATTTTGTTTTCTTTCCTTAAAACATAATTGAAACAAAATGAATAATTCCATTATTATTTACATTTTTTCGTATTGTTTCCAATGGAACATGACCCAGTGCGCGTTAGTATTTCGTATGTCGACTGGCTTTAAATCAGGTGAGTTTCCAAGTCAGTCGATTGGACTTTGATTTGCTCACTGGTAAGGCTTGGCATTGTGTTCGTGCAGTGTTACAATTTTCATACGTTTCTTGAGTATCGTGCATCGCAGACAATGACCGTAGGACACCTAATCGACAGTCGAAACAATAGTGTCTGAGCGTGATGAAAATCTGACGCAATCACGGATGACGCAATGCTTTTTAAAGCCAATCAAACAACAACCCGTAAATGGATTCATATTACTGCACACCACTGCAAATGACCTAATCTGAAGAAAAAATAGAAATCGATTACACTCTGTCACTCTAGTGGGTCTAAAACTAACTGAATGCTGAAAGAAAGGAAAAGAAAAAGGAGTTGTTTCTATTAATTTGCACAAGGGTGTTTCCCGTAGTAATGGCATCCATTATGACCATTCCTGTTTTGTAACAGACTCATTTAATTCTGTAAATATTTATAAATCTATGTTTTTCTTTTGGTCAATTATTCAACCACTCCAGAATGTACCTGACTCCTTCTGCTATGCCCTAGTACCAGTTCAGATCAAGAATTGAGTTTTGTTGACATGTCTAAATATAGAACTGCTCAAATGGGCAGGTGGATTTTTAGAGTTTGCCCTCGATGCAAAATCTAAGATTTGATATGAAAAGTATTGTCATTAAAAATTAGATTCATGCCTTTTACCAATTTTTGAGCATTTAGTTCTATATATCGCCTGAAAAACTCTGTAGAAATACCGATTTTCCACAGATTTTTGCTTACAAACTGATTCTAAAATTTTACTATTTCAAGAAGAAATTCAAATAAAGTTAATATCTTTTGTGTTAGATTCTTTTAATGGAAAATATATTCAAATCACAATTCTAATTATGAATCAACACTAACAAAATATGTAATTTTTACTGAATTCGATAAGTGAAAACTGTGTAAAAAATTGTAAAAGATTACAAAAAGTCGACTCAATGAATAAGATTTGTTAGATAATTTGTTAGATCATAATTAATAATAACAAAAAATAGATAAAAGTCTATATAACACCATAACACCGCTGGGCACAAATTATAATAGAAAGTTTTTTTAAATTTGCATTGTTCATTGAAAACCGCGCTAAGACTGGTTCACTGTATAACATATTACATCATAATATACAGTCGGCTATGATAAATCTTTAGCCACCCTTGTTTACAGCAATTTTGGCTTGTGTAATAACGTCTCCTCTCTTTTTTTAGAC